TTGTTCTTTTCTTATATTGTACTTCTTAAATATATATGTAGAAATATATTACACAGTAGTATTCATGTGTTAAAAATACCACTTTTCAAATAAATTCAGTCAATCCATGTTGAAAACATTTTCTAACATATCTTAGTTGATAAGAAAAAAGCCCAATAACTTATTTACAACAAGCTTGAAATACACCCTTCATATTTCCCCTTATAATAATCAATCTGAGGCTTCTGCTTTCAGGGATTAGCTGCCAACCAGATGAAACCCTATGGAAGGCTGTGATGTGGGCGGTTTTTTTCTTAAAAAGGTCCCATGACATGGCAATTTCTACAGATCATAATTCCATCGATGAGGTCTACTAGAATAGATTCACATTGTTCAATTTTCCAAACTCACATTGGTTTCTCATCCAGCATCTCTGTATAGTATGTGTATTCACTCTCTGTCCTAAACGGCTTGTTGGAGCTCCTGTGAGCCCAGTGGCCGTCTGCGAGACAGCGAAACCTAGCCCGAAACACACACACCCGTAGCTTAGCTGGGAGTTTGTGTGTGTGCTCAGGCTGAGTTCAGCGGTGTCTCGCTGTCTCGCCGACCCCACACCAGTGAGCCAGCTCACACTGTCCCGCTCCTCGCAGCAGCGAGCCTCGCAACGTCCCGCCGAGTGTGTGTGTGTGAGGAAGTCCACGGATTGGTCCAAACGTAACGGCTCTGCAGATTGGTCCATTTGAACCAATCTGCAGAGCCGTTAAGTTACGTCACTATACCTGAAATACGTCACTATACCCAAGAAGTAAACAATGGAAAAAGAGAAATGTCCAACGAGGCGTTCTGGGGCAGCATAGACAGGTATTCTCTGTGTTAGAGTTTTACTCCCTACAGGGTGTACTTTGAGGGTTTGTGACTCTGCAGACCGTTTACATGCAGAAAAACCTTCATAACACACAAGGGGACGGGTAATAACCAGAAAAACATGACATGGGACCTTTTTTAAGATTTAGTTTTTAAGTAAAGATGCAAATATAACCACAATAAACAACATGATGGATCTCTTGTGGTTTTATCTGCAAACCAGATCTACCTGTGGATCAGTCAAAACAAATCTGCTCATGTAGAATATAAAAAACATACATTAGAAACAGTTATTGTTGGATTGAATACGTGTCTTTCTGTCCTCCAGTTTGTCTCCTCTGGAGGTCTGCAGCTTCTCCTGGAGATCTTCAACTCGGGCATCCTGGAGCCCAAAGACCAGGAGTCCTGGACTGTGGTGAGAGACAACACCTGCCTTTAGAGTCTACTTTAAACGTCCTGGGCATTCATGGAATATGTTCTTTGATGTGTGTCTTATTAACAAAGCTGCATGTTGTAAAGCCTCACAGCTGCTTGGGGGATCTTCATGAGTTCATGACAACCCAAACTAAATAAACAATGCAGTTGGGAGTCACATTCTCATCTGACCATTTGTCAGAACAGTTCCTCTTACTCAATCAGTCAGTATTCCTTGTCGCTGGTTTGAATCTTAAACATTGACCATTTCTCTTCATATTGTGTTTCCTGCAATGAGTGTGTGTTTTGAATCTCTCTCTCTCTCCCTCTCCTCCTCAGTGGCTGCTCGACTGCCTCGCCTGCCTGCAGAAGCTGATCTGTCAGTTTGCCGTGGACCCAGCTGACCTGGACCTGGCGTACCACGACGTCTTCTCCTGGTCCGGCCTCGCAGACAGTCAGCGCAAACGAGCGTGGCCGGGGAAATCACGCAAATCCACCGTGGAGCACGGGAAGGGTCTGCACATCCCTCGACTCACTGAGGTAAATGTTCCACTAGATAGAACAAACTAAAAAGCTGAAAGTGATTTATTCTGGGATTGAACGATCTTTGGTGGTTTGCAGGTGTTCCTCAGCCTGGTTCAGGGTACTAACCTCATCCAACGCTTGATCAACGTGGCCTACACCTACGACAACCTCGCACACAGGTGAGCACTACACATGTTCTTCTGGTACTTAATATACTTTTAGATATTTCAATACTTTTTAAAATACTAAATATATATCAAGTATAATTTGCATGTGGTCTTTTTGTTCAACAGAGTTCTTAAGGCTCAGTCCGACCACAGGTCTCGTCATGAAGGTGAGAACTGATTACAAATGATACCCATTAGCATTTGGCGTTCAATTTATTAACACGCTGACACAATTCTGAAAGCTAGAAGGAAAGAGAAACCTCAACATCTCTCAACTCAAATAAGAAAACCCATCTGAGTTTAGTGTGACAGTGATACGACTGATGTTTCTTTCTCCTCCCCAGTGACCCACTACTCCATGTGGCTGCTGGTCAGCTGGGCCCACTGCTCGTCCACGGTGAAGTCCAGTCTGGCCGACAGCGACCATCTTCACGACTGGCTGAAGAAACTCACGCTGCTGGTGCCCGAGGTGAGACTGGAAACAGCTTTCAAAGACATAAAACTAACTCATGCACGAACAGTTCATTTATGTGATCTTATCAGAAACAGGTTTATCACCAGGCAGGTACGATGAATTTAACTTGATGTCGTGGTGCATACATAAAAGTAAAACAACAATTAAAAACAGTTTGCAGAAAACTATAAACTTTCAGCTGCTCGCCTCCCAGACTCTGGAACTCCCTGCCACTACACATCCGACAGTCTGATTCCATAACAAAACTCAAAACCCACCTGTTCAAACTGGCATTTTCTTTATAAACGGTACCCTGTGTCCTTCTGTGTCCTTCTGTGTCCTTCTGTAGTCCATTTCCTGTTGTTTGTCTTGTCTTACCCCGGCTGATACTTCACTAAATCCACTGTTTTAATTGTTCCCTATATTGCCCCTATGCCCTGTAAGGTGTCCTTGGGTGTTATGAAAGGCGCCCCCCAAAATAAATGTATTATTATTATTAAAAAATATAGCAGTATTTACATTGAAGTAGAATGGAATAAAATATGTGCATTAATAAAAAAACACGTTAAAGTTACATGAATTTGAAAACTCTTTAAGCAATACACAAATAGC